TGGTGCCGAGCTTGAACTTGAGGCCCTGCTTCTGCAGGATGCGCTGGAAGTTCTTGGAGATCTCCATGTCGATGCCCATACCACCCACGTGGCCCAGGAACTCCACCGCTGTGACCTTGGCACCCAGACGCTGCCACACTGACCCCTGCAGGATGGCAGGACAAACACACGTCTGACAAGTGCAACTCTCCTTTCTAAAGAAACAGAGCTGAGGCAGGAAATGTTGCCGATGTAGTCGACATAATCATGTGTTTGTGGGTGAATCAGTCTGTAGTGATGCTGACCAGCTCCACCCCGATGACTCCAGCTCCGATCACAATCAGCTCCTCTGGTACTTTCTTCAGGGAAAGAGCTCCTGTCGATGACACGATGGTCTCCTCATCAATCTAAAGAAACATATTTGAACACACTTCTTTTAAAAATCAACCCAGAATTATCTTTTAAAAATCAAGTGCATGTGAGTTCTTATGGAGTGGTGAAAGGAGGGTGACATGTGTGAGATATGATAAGGCTCTTGAGACGAGGACGCCTTTTGTTAGACACCTGCAGCACTGACTCCTCTCTTCATGTCCCTTCCTCGCCTCCTCCACCCCCTTTGGTAAATACAACAAGCAAAAAACCTGCAACTAGTGAAATGAAGTATGAACAGGTCACAAATTCTCATACCTGGATGCCTGGAAAGGGCGTGACCTCTGAGCCTGTGGCGATGAGGATGTTCTTGGTGTTGATGACCTGCTCTGTACCATCAGCTGTTGTGGCGGTCACTTGGTTCTTCCCGGTTAACCTTCCAAAACCATTAACGTGAGTAACCTGTGGGGAGTGATGTCACACCACAGACACTGTTAAAAGTGGTTCAGATGTAGCATCTGTGTAAACCAGCACTAATGCAGAGAGGGAAGACTGACTTTGTTCTGTTTGAATAAATGTGCGATTCCTCCAGTCAACGCTTTGACCGCCCCACTCTTCTGAGCCATCATCTTCTCCAGGTTCAACGAGATGCCTGAAACTGAAAGACAAAGACTTTATTGTCAATGGGGTCACAAATGTCAAACTAAGAAACCGATGGAAAAACAAGTTATATTCAATTAAAGCGTATTGTCGAAAACACACATTCTGTGCCATCAGTATCCAGTACTAAGGAATACAGACACAAGTGTTATAATAACGTATATGCTTATATTAAATATGGCTAATGCTGCAAATAATGACCTTCAGTGTAATCTTGGCTATAAAAAAAAATCTACTTGAAAGGTTTAAAGACAATGGATTTCTCTACTGTAGTCATTTCAGGCACACAGAGCATGTACTGCTGGTCAAACCAATCATAAGAGGGTTGGTTGGCTTAAAGCGAGGGGAGCTAACACAGCTTGTTTCTGACAGGATTAACTGAGGGGCAGCACAAAAACCTCTATGACATAAAGAAGGATTATTTTGAACTTTGAATCATGCAAAGCTCTACTAGAGCTCAAAATTACAACACATAACTGGAAATGACCCCCCTTTAAGGATCAGTGAACTACACAAAATGTACAAAACGTCTCTTTAAAGCCTGATGGTGATTCTTACTTTCGATGCCTCTGCTTTCAAAGTCCTTCCCATGAGCCAAGTGGTACAAGTAGGAGTTGTTCAGCAGAGCCTGCAGAAACAAAACAGCAGCTTATTCAGCTGGAGGAATGACTTTATACACGTTTGCATCATTTTACGGATTCAATATAGTTTAATCAATCTTACGTTCAGTGCTCATCACCAAACTGAAAAGTTATTTTTAGGTGAAGTTTGTTCTGCTTTCCTCTCTCTGTGAAATTTAGTCCTTATTATGAAGTGGAAAATGTTTTTCCCACTCTGCTTGGATAAATCCAAAAGTATTGGCTTATTTTTGAATTCATCAAGACAATAAAAAGATGCTACCGGTATGTGCTGCTATTCTTTCTGGCAAAATTTTTGGCTCTACTACTCAAATGTGCTCCATGGAAGCATTTGCCCTTTATAATATATCTATGGATAGAAAACCATCACTGGATTACTTTTATACGAAAGGTGTACAAGTTCTGAAAGAGAAACCAAACCCAAGATAAAAACATCCTTGGTATCTCCTTCCTGTAAAATGATCATACTGATCAAACCTCTTACAAACAAACCTGTGAATTTGTGGTGATTAAAAGCAGTTTGTTACCTTCGAGGGGATGCAGCCGACATTGAGACAAGTCCCGCCGAGTGTGAGATTTTTCTCGACACACACTGTCTGTCCAAAAATAACAAATGTAGAGACGGGGGATACATTATTCACCAAAAACTTCCACTTGTGACCATCTGTGGGATTTAGACAGCAGGATATCTGTCGAGCAGGTGGGTTACCTTAAAGCCGAGCTGTGCAGCTTTGATTGCAGCGACATAGCCTCCTGGACCGGAGCCCACCACTGTGACGTCTGCATCAACTGCAGAGAGGCAACACAGCAGCTTTTAGCATGACTTTACACCACCAGAGAAAACTACATGATTAAGGTCTGGTGTATGTAAATGAACATTTTAATGCAAGCTCTCTACCACCCCTCTTTACATAGCCCATGAAGTCCTATCCCCACCCAAATCCAGCACCCGAGACTCTCTGCAAGTCTGAATTATGAGACTGCTTTGATACAAACATCAGAGATCAAACCGCACAAACATGTGGCTAAAGTTCAGTAAACATTGTGCCACAAATAAAGTCCTATGATAAGATTTACAGCACAATCGTACTTGCTGCTTTGTCAGCGTAGGTACGAACAGACAGCGCTGCAGCTCCGTGCACTTTGCAGGGCAGGTGGTGGCTCCGCTGTGAAGCAAACGAAATGCACAGTTAGAAAATACGCATGCACAATACAACTAGGCAATGCAACACAAAACAATGTTATAGTGCATCACAAGCCAACTTTGCAAACTAAAAGCATCTGTCTTCAGTGGCTTCTCTCACTTCCGTAATCTGCTGCTTAATAATTTCTATTTACGTCACTACTATTTCCTTTTAAAGCTGCATACTAAGATACTGAAGCCTAGTGAGTCACGAAGGAGCAAACTCAACTACTAAACTAACATTTGAATTTTCATATTTAGTTTAATATTTAGACTCATGCACTTGTTTTCATGGAATTGTACCACATTCAGCTGGTTTGCTGTTGCAGTGCCAGCTCTCAGCAAGGACACCCTCAGCCTGTCCACCAGCAACTCTGAAACTTTCCCCTCTAGCAGACTACCAAGTTAGCAAATAACTACAATTTAAGTGTCATAGAGTCACAAAGCTTCTAAAAGCCCCGAAACAATTCGGAATAATTTGATGCTCGCCGTGAAGCTGTGAGACAACAGCTGAGCTTACGACATAAATTATGAGTTAGGCAACCGCTGCTAAACAGCTAAGCGAGCTAACACGACACCAGAGTGGGAAATGTCAACTGTAAAGTCATAGAACCTAGATCCTTTTCTTCTAGCTTTGTGTGATTTAAGCCCCTTTAATATTAGCAGAATACAAATATCACGCTTCTTTTCATTGCAGGTTTTACTTCAAAATACTGCGGCAATATTTAACCAGAAAAGTCGTGATTTAGTTTAAATGTGGGGAAGGTTGTTAGTCTAACTCATGCCGAATTAAAATGAAAAAGGTATATGAATAGGAAAAACATCAACTGAAAACCAAGCAACGTGTTTAGACATCGATAACCACAACAACTCCAAATTGCATGTCTTTTCCAGTGCAGTCTGGTTCGCCTTCTGCTGTTAGCCGAGTAGCTAGCCAGGTGCGGGCCGCAGGTCTAAAATTTCCCCTATCCTCTAGATCTGCAGCACGCAGGACAGTTTACGACACATCCGGATTTCGCATACTGGTTATCGCGAAAATAATATGACTGCTTACTGTGGCCAGGGAGCGGTATAACTGTGTCCAGCTCTGCATTCTGTCGGTGCACTCTCACTGGATCCGTAACCTACAGCAGGCCGAGCAGCCAAGGACTCCTATCATTGCGCAAGCGCAGTATGGGTCCAAACCGAAAACTCCTCCGGGTCGCATCTATTACGCATCACGTCAAAATTTGCGACGGGTAAACAAATGTTATTTTTAAAAGCAAAATGTTTTTTTAAACAAATCATATGTATGTATATATATATATATATATATATATATATATATATATATATATACACACATATATACACACACATATATACACACTTCCTCTACACCCCCCCCCCAATGTTTTTGCACATGTCGAGGAGCGTGTCAGGCTACATTTCACTGTGTGTTATACTTGTATAACTATGCATGTGACAAATAAAGAACCTTGAACTTGAACCTTGAACTTGGTGAACTTTATTAGTAACAAATGAGGTAAAAAAACAACAACCCCAAAACATACAAAACACAGAAAGAGGCTCTCAGTATTCATTAATAATTAGAAAGAAACATTCTGGTCGTGGATTTTTACAGTCTTAGTTCCGCTCGCTGTCATCATTATAATCATCATGATCAATGGCGAGGTCCTGAGGTGGGCGGGGCTGTCTCTGGTGATGTCACCATGAAGGAACAGCATCTGGCACGTGTTGGTGAAACATCCCAGTACGCTGGTGTAGTTTCCTCTCCAGCTGTTTGACATGTAACACTTGAACATTAAGGGGAAGAAGAAGAAACAGTGTTAGGTCAGGTGACCACATGGTTTCTAAAGTAACTGACAGGAAGTAACCAGGCCGTCAGAAATGGATGGCATGTGTTTAGAGTTACTGGAGTTGGGTAACTGTACTTACCAAAAGCAGACGCACACAGATGAAGGATCAGATGCTGAATGTTGCAGGAACATGCTCATGTGTGGTGGTCATTCAGTGCTGCTCCGGCAGGTTAGACAGTCCAAGACTGATATACTGCTCATCTGAGAGTTTGAAAACACACATGCAAAGATTTATTTTGTGTTACAGTCAAAGTTGGATGTTCATTTTTGTCCTTTAAAAATGTTTGTGCATTTGAAAGCACTAACATTTAAGGATGACTTGGATCGTCTCCTTTAAAGGGGAGACAAGTGTATCCACTGATCTACGTCACTTTACCTGGATGATGACTCCTCTCCCCCTCACTCAGAAACACTCCTAATATAACCAAGCAAATAAATAATATTGAAGATTTACTTACATCATTACAAAAACAGGAAAAACATCTCCCTTTGATTCTATTTCTTCATTCCTGCTGAACACCAGGCAACAAATATCTCAATAAATCACAGTAAAATGTAAAGCACATGTTTTCTCTGCTTTGTCTAACCTCTGCAGAGCCTCTGTCAAGAAAAACACATCTGTAAGCATAAAACAAATATACATTCATAACACGTCACTGGACAAACCTCGGTCAGTTGATTTCCTCTGTGCAGTGCAGATGAGCATCAGTCAGCGAGTGACTCTGCTGGTTCTTCTGAGGAAACACCACCATCTCTCCACACCGTCACCATCTGTGAGCACAAACTGCTGCTCTGCTCTGCCAGCATGTAGGAATCACATATCACACACAGGGGTGAAGAAACATCAGAGCTCAACTTTGGATACTTTAGATCTAAACAGATCAAAGTAGCTCTTAGTTTCAGCAATCAGACAAACAATGATACCAAACTGATTCTGTATGAATACAATATGGTATTTTCAATACAGGTGTCAAATTAATTTATTAAAACTAATACAGATATATGTATATATTTTTTGATAAATTAGTTTGCTAAATTATAAGGATATATTTTTTTTTTTCATTTAACAATTGCAACTAAAAGAAATTAAATATTGAACAAAAATATATTGTCACATTCTGAGCATGCTCAGCACGCTGACAGACTTGAAGTTGCTACAGATTTTAAGAAGTGATAATTATAGGGAAGAAACTTCTCTTTTTCATCCGTTTAATCAAACATTTGATGCCTCAGCTGTCTCAGTCCTATAGGGTTCTGCAACTACAACTAACCTGAGGCTTGGATTTGGCTGCAGGTGCCCCTGTACATCCTTCTCAGCAGCACACATGTGGGTACCATTTAATCCCACTTCTTCCTGAGCTTTGCTTCATCACAAGACCAAAGGTGGCATCCCGTGTCACAGTCTTATCATCATCCAGAAGAAACATTTGAAGAAACATCATGGAGAAGAAACATTTACGCGCCTCCTGGTTTTGTTTTCTGATCCTGCGAAAAGACTGAGGGCAACAAAGCCCAGAGAACACGAGATACACAACATCCAACATTCAGACTCAACAGCCTCCATAAATGAAGAGCACCAGGTTGGTTCAGTTATAGTAGATATAAGCATACTTCACATTACTGGGTATGAATAATAATGAGGAGGCAAACTTTGACGATGCAGAGCATGATGTCCCATCATCAGACTGCAAACAAACATCCACCAGGCTTCTTTGTTGCCAAAATTGATGATTCTCCCATCAGGGATCAGTAGCGTGTATTAACCTGTGGTATAAGCAGCAGTCACTGAAATATTACTGTTTCAGATAAGAAATCTAGCACATAAAAACCAGGGTGGGAGGGATCTCTGCAAACTGACTTAGGTCTGCAAGTGTGAAGCTCAACAAAAATCTGACTCTCCAGTCACAGACAAACAAAAACTCCAGCTGGGAGAGAGAAAACGCTGTCTGGGTCCTGCTGGATGTTGCTGGTCAGAGTCCACACATTAGCAGAGTGCTTCTTGGTCCCACTGACCCATGTGGACAGCGACTGTGGAGAACTGTTCTGGAAAACAGAGAAGAGAATTAAAATAACAAAAAGTAGCAGCAGTTCAGATCTGATTTAATTCAATTTCCTTCACACAGCACATTTGTCCAGGCTGACAGGTAAACATAGAATTAATCTCAGGTAACATGACTCATAGTAGAGATTCAGTAAGAAAGATTGCAGGCTCTAATATTATTACCACACAATCCAAGGACACACCAACAGCTCCGATTTGTAGAACTATTTAAAGAAATGTCTTCTGAATATTCAATTCAGGTTCACAGTGGGAGGGTGGGAGGTGTCGTGGAATTTTTAAAATAAAGTCTGCAACACAGAAAGAGCTGTGATCAAGCTATTTATTACTGCGCCAACACACATCAAACATCACAGTTCAGTCATGTCAGCGCTGCCACAGAAGTGGTGCTCCTACTCCTTTATGCATTCCAAGGAAGAGGGAGGAAGTTACAAACGGATCGTACCACACTTCAACGGATCAATGGTTGTGCTGTTTTGTGGCCTTATCACCACCTGTAAAGGGAGTTGTTTTCTCAAACTGCTGACGCTGAAGTAAGTTCATCTAGTTTTAGAAACTTTCCCTGAACAGTAACAGTGTCACAACTAAGCATATGCATAAGCACTTAAATACTTTAAATGAGAATAACAGAAAATTTCTATTACAGAGGCTAGAGCCTGTCCCAGTAGTCATAGGTAGAGCACACCTGGACAGGTCACCAGTCTGTCAGAGGACTAACACAGAGACAGACACGAGAGTAACAAATCTATTTAAAATTAATGTAAGTTTGCTGCAGCTGTATGTATGAACATGTGTTTCTGTGCTCACAGTCCACCACTCAGGAACCTGCAGTTCACTTCAAGTCTACTTTAAACAGACCTCACAAAAGGCTGATGTGGCTGGATCAGTAGTCTGATTTAAGTACGATACCTTTGGCCAGGGATTAATCTGGTGCATCGCTTCACTGCAGTCTTACGTATTTTCCCCACACCTGAATAAAAAATACTGATATATACAAATAACAGCTTCAGCTGATGCAGCCTGACTCAATCCTAAATGTTCAGCACACAGAGACACAGAGGTGCCGTTTAAAGTTTAGTGTTAACTTGAGTCACTGATCATTTGCAGTATTACAGAGTCTGGCAGTCTTTGCATGATGTCCACGTCACTGTAAGTTTCTAGCTGACTCTCAGGTGTGACAGGTGTGCCAGCAGGAAAGAGTAATAATAACCTGCATCCTGAGGTTTGTCATGCAGGACTAAAGAAGCCAGGCTTTGTTCACACAGCTAGGATTGTATTTTACACTGATCCTGGGTCAGTATAAGTATCATACAGTTTAAACGAAGCACTGAAACTTGCACATATTTATTACAGATGCACTGAAGCTAATCGAGATATTTGCTGTCAATCTGTGGCTGCGATTAAACACTTTACTGGAAACTTTATCAACTAGTAACTTCATCAGTCATGACAGAAGCTAATATTTCTGTGCTAACATCGTTTAACCAGTAACAGCTTTACTCCAATATAAGCTAACGTTTACACCGTAACTTTAAGCTAGCACCATAAAGACGGTAAAACACGTAATAACATCTACAAATGCATCTTAAAGCTGTTATATTAGCACTCGGTGTATTACTAACATAACCACATTAACATTACTGACACTCGCTGACTTTTAATAGTCATTCTATAAATGCTGTCCGTGTAAATGGTCTTACCTGTACACACTGCATATCCACCGGATTCCAGCCAGAGTGGATTCTGGAGTCTTCCACGCTCCTGTTAGTGATCCTCCACCTGGATGGATGAGAACAACCTTCTGAACAATCTAGCAGGAGATGGCCCATATCTATGGGACTGATTTGTGCTAATAACGCCCATTGTATGGACTGATAACAGCCGAAGCGGGTGAATAAAGTCACCCAGTAGCTAGCTGTGCCATTACCCAGCATACATCACTCCCTCCATAAATGCAATAAACCATACAAAAGTATCTTTCTACCTGTTTTTCAGGTAGTTGTTTACATTATATAATTTATTGTGTTCTGTATACGTCACTACAATGTGATTTGGAAAATGTCTAAATATACCGACAACAGGCACTTCCGCGGCAATCTCTTCAATCGGAGGACCCTTCACGTCAATTCCCGACGCAGAGGGGTACCCTGCGCGTCCATAAGTGAAGCAGAGGGAGCCTGACCATGCGTCACACGTTTGACGAGTTGGGAGTGAGAACGTGTTGTCACTTCAGTCTTCAGCACGTCCTCAAAACATGATGAAATCCTTTCTCCTTACAAATATCTCAAGGTTTTATGACAACATGATTCTTTGATTAAAATTCATTGTTTACGTTTATTGGTAAATATTGACCCTTGAACCACATCTTCACACTTCAACAACACTGATACACACTGTGAATGTGTATGCCAGTGTTGGTGGTCATCTCAAGTTCACTGTACAGATAAATCCTGTGAGTCTTTGGCACACCTTTGCGTTCATTGAACGTCTTCTTCCTTTTGATCAACTGATGGTCAAGTGTGTGGTGTTCCTGTGGATAACCAATCCTCCTGACATCACCACCGCGTTGCTTTTATAGGAAAATATGTGAAAGGAAAAATGACACAACAGCAACAAAGACAAAACAATGTTTACAATTAAATACATGAAATACTTTTAGGTTCATGGTCATTCAGCTGGCCAAAGAACCCATCTACTTATACAAAAATGATAAGGCTGTACGGTGAGTGATGGCTCAGATTTTAGTATAAAAATGTGAATTCTGTTTATTTGCCAAACAGTTTTCTTCTTTTAAGCAGTTTTTTTTTTGGCAGATTTAAAAACATTTGGTCTGATAAAGTTCCTCAGCACTGTACATAATCAAAACTAACAGTCAAATAAAACTATCATGACTTTTATAAAATTTTAATTGTACACATTTTCAGAAAAACACAAACTTGTCATAAAAGCCATTTTAAAGCACTAAAATCTTTGGAACAAAGTTTCTGACAGTTTGTTTTTCCTTTAGTGTTTGTAATGTGCCAGTTCAGAGGATGCTGTGGATGCTGGTAAATGTTATTTGTGTTCTGGTTTGTAGCTTAACCATTTTTGTGCTTCCAGTTCCATTTCTCTATCGCCACTGAATTTATTTATCTGTGACAGCTGGAACAGAAGTGCTGCAAACAGACTTCCTTACAACTTCTTCCCTTGCAAAAGGACATTTTATTTGCAGTTATTTAGTACAAGAAACTTCATCAAGAGTTGCTGAAACAAAGCAATTCTTTTTATTTGCTTCTCCCAGATCACAAACCTCAACATATACATGAACAGGACGGGACAATTAAATAAATAATAAACTAAGAACCAAACAGAACATAGAATAATAATCAAAGATTCAGATTCTACAGAAATTCAAAACTCTGGCTTCGATTATTTACACACACACACACACACACACACACACACACACACACACACACACACACACACACACACACACACACACACACACACACACACACACACACACACACAAAGAATCCATATTTTTTCCACATTTCCCTTTTCTGTGATGTTTAAACAGTTTTAACTTCCTAGGACCTGGTGTCTACATATGTGGACATCACATTTTGGGTCGTCTAGGGTCCGGTGGCGCCAGTGTCCGGCAGCCTCGCCTCTGTCAGTGTGCCCCAGGGCAGCTGTGGCTACAATGTAGCTGCCATCACCAGTGTGTGAATGTGTGTGTGAAAGGGTGGATGACTGAATGTGTAAAGCGCTTTGGGGTCCTTAGGGACCAAGTAAAGTGCCTTGAGGCGACTTTTGTTGTGATTTGGCGCTATATAAATAAAACTGAACTGAATTGAATTATACAAATACAGGCCATTTACCATTTACCATTCAAAATACCTTATTTTGCTCTACAAGGGCCAGATGTCCACTTACGAGGCCGTGATACTGCAACTGTTCTATCGAAATTTAAATGTCCTCATATGTGGATCTCATTTTCCTCAAAAACAAAAATCAGGCTAAAAGAAAAAATCACGTATTTCTTTATTTTACATTCATCAGGTCCCAATCACCCTAAATAGCAAAGGGTCAAAGGAGCTTGCAAAGAAAAGCGTCTGGACTTCTTTAAGTTGCTTGAAGACGTCCCATCTGGGACTCTCCACCATTTGACCTTAGAACTGAAGAAGCTTCTCGGATGAGAGGTGAAACGTCTTCAAGCAACTTAAAGAAGTCCAGACGCTTTTCTTTGCAAGCTCCTTTGACTACGATGACCTGGATGACTGAGAACCTTCACAGACCTAAATAGCAAAGAGAAATTCAAAATTAATGCCATGATGGAGTTTGGGTCTTAGGAGCTTAAAGGAAGTGTTTGTACATCATAAAAAAAGATTATGACACAAAATCTTGAAAAAGTTGATAAATATGAAAAAGGTGTGCACATCATTATCATTCTGGTTATTGTATTACGCAGCCGAACCCACCAGTGTGGATGTTATTACCATCATTGGAACAGGGACTGAAGAACAGGTAGAGCTTCTCAGTGAAGGAGCAGTCAGAGAAGGAGTAGATAAGAGCTGCAGTGCTGACGTCATAAAAGCAGACCAGACCCTCGTCGTAGTGGACGTACACGCCCACCTTCACAGGCTTCGACCTCAGGGACAGGTGGACTGCCGGCTCCGTGGAAACTACATACCCATCAGAGCACAAACATAAAGTCCAGAAACCGTTGCTAGAACTCAGCTGGACTTGTCCTTTCACATTATCCTTCCTGGTCACTCCTAAGGTCCATGTAGACCACTTGTCAACCTTGACCTCAAAATAAAATCTTCCAGAAGAGTAACCCAGATTTGATAACACACATCTACAATCATTCCCTTTATACTGGGGGGGTCTGGGGTGGACCGTATCAGGATCAAGCATGGCATAACATCTGTACCACTGGAATCTCTTCAGCTCGTCCTCAAACAGACTCTTCATCTGGTCATTCAGCTTCTTCTCCACCTGACTCACAGCTCTCACCACCATCCCTTCATATGAAGGTGGATGGATACTGGTGTTGGTCCAGTCTTTAGTGGGTGGAACAGCTTTCACAGAAGAGAAGTTGTGGATGAACTGGAGGTGGTCTTCTGAGCTGGAGAGTTGCTCCATCTCAGAGCTTCTCTTCGTCAGCTCAAAGATTTCCTGCTCGAGCTCCTTGATGACGTCTGCAGCCTGTTTCTCTGCTGTTCTCTGCTTCTCTTTGACCGCCTCTGTCAGCTCATTCAGACCTCTCTCTATAGACTCCATCAAATCAACAAAGAACTGAACACCCCCCTCCAGCTCTCTGTCTGCCTCTTCCTTACTGAGCTGCACAGAGCGTTTAACCTCTTGAATCTTCTCCAGTCTCTTGAGGATCATTCCTTGAAGTTCAGCCTGTTTCTTCACCAGCCCTGCCTTCTTCACTTTGTATTCCTCTTTCAGAGGAACAACATCATGGCACTTGTGGTCTGAAACAGAGCACACAACACAGACACACATCTGATCGGTCTTGCAGAACATCTCCAGCGGTTTATCATGTTTTGAACATATCCTTCGTTCCAGGCTCTTAACAGGGTCGATCAGCTGATGTCTCTTTAGGCCTGAAACAGTCTGATGAGGCTGCAGGTGAGTCTCACAGTAGGTGGTCAGACACACCAGACAGGACTTCAGAGCCTTCAGTTTGGTCCCAGTACAAACATCACAGAGAACTTCTCCTGGTTTAGCAGACTGTTGCTCTGATCTCCTCGTGCTGCTGCTGCTGCTGCTGCTGCTGGCTTCCTGCTGAGCTGACAGCTTGAACTGAGCAGCCATCTCAGAGATGAAAGTATTGACATGGAGCTCAGGTCTTGTGTAGTACTTCCTTTTACAAACGGGGCACTGACACAGAGGACTGCTGTTCCAGTGCTGAGTGATGCAGTTCTTGCAGAAGTTGTGTCCACATGGTGTACTGACTGGATCTGTGAACACTTCCAGACAAATGGAGCACAGAAACTGGTCTTCAGACAGCAGACAGCTGGCAGCAGACATGTCCACACTGGGGGGATAAATGGAGAGAAAGAAAAAACTGTAACTGCATTATCGTTCAATAATTCAGCTCACAAAAGTCAGACAATGTGTGGAGGCTATAATTTACTTGATTTCTTTGTTATGTTTTCTTCCTCCTATTCACCTCTAATTTTGAAAGTAGAAGTACAAATACTACTGTTAAAAAAAAGTAATCTAGTAAAAGTTTAAGTACTGTTGTCAGAGTCCAGGAGGCCATTTATACGAACAGGGAACGACCATCTCTAAATCGAGGAGGGGCCTAAGGGTACATCTGTCATGATCTTACAATGCTGTGATTGCAGCCGTTCCCCAACTCTCTGTGAATGGGACTCATGGCCATTGACCAGTGGTTGTTGACTAATAGTCATGAGAATTTGCATTTTAACGATCATCATAATAATGATGAAGGAACTGACCTCCCAGCCCATTGTTCCTTCAGTGGGCTGGTTTCAGTCACTTGGATGAGTGACGAAACGTTTCTCCCACTGAAAACGTCCAGATGAACAGAATCAACTTTTGGGGAGTCTCACGCTGTGAGGTGTGGTTCCTCCCCTAGGAACCACACCTCACAGCTGGTCTGGGCTGCGGTGTCGCTGCACCCCCTTTCAACTGACGGTGCTGATGCACAGGATGGGGGAAGGGGACAATCCCCAGGTTTTCCTGGAGACCTTCCAGGCCACTGCGGAGGCATGACAGTGGCCTCTGGTGGAGTGGGCGCCACCACTACTACCAATACTGGCGGGAGAGGCTCAGACTGCGGGACCGAGTCTGCCGCCGACGTCGCGAGGGAACTGTCTGCTAGGCCATGCTGGACCTACTGGGCCGGGGTGGGCCTTTCGAGTGAGGTCCCATCATCTCCGGAAATTCCCACCATGGGAGATTTCCCACTGGAGCAGTCTCGTGATGACACCCTACGCTCAGCCTTCGACCAAGTGGTAGACATTGATGGTCATGTGGTGTGCCCTAAAGCCGTGTGGACCTACCTGCGCTTCGTATTGTGGAAAGATAGGTTATATCGAGTGAGTTGTGAAACACACCCAGTTGTTGGTGTCACAAAGCCGCCAAGAAATTATTTTCCAGGCGGCTCACTATACACCATGGCAGAGCATACGGGATATGACAAGACTCTGGAGTGAATAATGACCCGATTTTATTGGCTTGGAATCCAAGCAGATGTGCGCTGCTGGTGCGCATCCTGTCCGGAATGCTAACTTGTTAACCAGCCGGCCATACCAAAAGCACCTTTGCACCCACTCCCATTAATGGAGATCCCATTTTAGCGCATCGGCATGGACCTCATCGGGCCATTTTCTCAGAATGCACACGCCTATCGCTTTGTATTAGTTCTGGTGGATTGTGCAATGCAATACCCTGGAGCAGTGCCACTGCAATTTCTGCAAAGAGTGTGGTGCAGGCACTGTTTCAGGTCATCTCCCGAGTCGGTATTCCGAAAGAAATATTGACTGACCAGGGCACGTCGTTAAAGTCTTGCACACTGAAGGATCTGTGCGAGTTATTGAGCAATAAATTGACTGGGCCCAACGTCTACCACCCTCAAACTGACAGGCTGGTGGAGCGGCTGAATAATAATCATTTTGAGATGCAGCCTGGCATGTTCATGGCCCTACAGGCTTCCTGAACATAAAAGGCAAAGGGAATTGGTTGAAATGCTAAGAATGGGACTAATAAAAGAGTCGATGTAACCCCATCGTTCTTGTGGTGAAGAACGATGGGTCTACACGGTTCTGTGTAGACTATTGCAAAGTAAATGAAGTGTCACGCTGTGATGCATATCCCATGCCACGGGTCAATGAACTCCTGGACCAGTTGGACACTGGATTTAACCAAGGGCAACTGGCAGGTTCCCTTGTCTGCAGAGTCCAAGGAAAAACGGCATTCTCCACTCTGTACCAGTTCAATACAATTCCATTCGGCTTGTTCAGATCCTCGGCCACATTCCAGCGCCTCATGGACTGGGCGCTGCATGCTGCATATGCTGCTGCCTACTTGGATGATGGGATCATCTATAGCAGGGGTCCCCAATCCCAGTCCACGAGGGCCAGTGTCCCTGCAGGTTTTAGATCTCACCCTGGGTCAACACACCTGAATCACATGATTAGTTCAATACCAGGCCTCTGGAGAACTTCAAGACATGTTGAACAGGTCATTTATCCATTTAAATCAGCTGTGATGGATCAAGGACACATCTAAAACCTGCAGGACACCGGCCCTCGTGGACTGGAATTGGGGACCCCTGATCTATAGTGACACCTTGGTGGAGCATGTGCAGCAGATGGCCGCAAACAAACCTATTTATCATGACTTGACACAATATCTGGTTTGAAAACATGAGGACTTACATGTAAGCTTTAAATTTCCAGTTAATCAAACCTCACTGAGCAGTCCTTCCCTTTAAATCTACCTCTCTTCTTCTTTCTCCATCTCTGAAAGAAGTTAGTTCTATTTCTTTTCTCTCCCTGTGAAATACAGCAGCTGGACCTGTAGGGGCCATTTTTTTGTTGTTACCTTATGTGTACAAATAGGGGTCACCTTTTGTGTTTTACAGTTTGGTGTGTTTCTGGGAATGTATTTAAGGTAGATACAATTAGCGCCAGGTGTTGCTGTTCGGAAAAACCACACAGTTTGTGACCACTGCGCTGTTGTGATAAAAGACGTTGGATAAAGAGAGCTGTGCAAGAACAATTATAACTGATGGGATACAATACAAATGTTAAACAGACTAATTAAACATGAGCAGCTACAATACTAAATAATCTGAATCAAACAACAGAAGTGTCTTATTGAAAATCATTCCCACAGAGGAGAGCTGACCTCACCTCACACACCCACTACCTTTTTAAAGCTCCTCTGCCAATCACACGACAGAAGGCAGCAAACTGCCAGGTGACACTTCTTACAATAGAAACGTTGTATTTGAAATTACCTGCCACTTAAAAAGAAAGTAATTCCCTCATGCGCACTCTTCTTCAGTAGGGCTAGCTCGATGCTGAAATACCGTAACTTATGGACACCTGCAGTTGTTCCGGTGTTTGCGTCAACAGAAAAACAAACAAACAAAAAACACTGTCCCACTTTGAACCCCTGACTATGGCACGCATCAAAAAACACTCAAGTCAAGTACAGATACCTGAAAATTGTACAAAATTCTAATTTTTTATAATTTTCCCACCTTTGCTTTTGACAGCAACTGAGAGTTTAATTTGACAAGACACAGCACAGAATAATAAACTTGAATTTTGCATCATTGCTGAATTTTCAATCCTTAAATTGAATCTGCTGCACTCACCGCTGTTCTGTAGAGGCTTTGCTGAGAAAGTCTCTCTGACTGACAGAGACACTTGTCTGCAGCCACCTGTTGGTCTGATAAACCCTCAGTTTCATTTCAGGAACATGACGTTGAAGCTCTTCTCCTCTTACAGCCGATTAATCCAGCTCTGTGCAGGGGCAGATCTAGAGAAATTTTCTTAGGCTGGCATGGAAAAAGTATTTTGGAAACTAACTGCACCACATGCAGCACTATTATTTCTCTCAGTCTCAGAGCAGCATTTCTAATTTTGATTGAAAGTGTCAGAGAAAACGGCAGCCTCGAGCGAGCCGGGATATTAGTTTACAGAGGCTGTTAGAATTATATGTCTAACGTTAAAATGTTGGTGACACAATAATTTCATCCTAATGGTACTGACATATTCATAGGGTTCATTTTTGAGACAATATATCATGAGGTAGTCATGATTTTGCAAATATTCCACCTTGTAGTGCAGTTTGCACAAATTGTTTTAAAAATGCACTCAGCCTACAAACATTACTGATGAGTCAAGATCTGCACAAAGTGACAGAAACACTGAGCAGCTCCACATTTTATTCTTATTGTCATGTTTGTCCTATTTGTCAGGTGACAGAAGAACCAACACAAAGCTCAGAGAGTAATGGTGACACAAGATCACAGGTGGAATTGCAGGATGACTTGATGGTTCATGACTGTATTTGAAGCACATGTGTGACTGCATGTATGTGGAATGTCTGACTGTTATTCATCAGGTGACAGAGGCAGCTCTGCCATGTTGTAGCTCAGAGGTGAAGAGGCGAGGTCACAGGTGACTGACTGATGGTTTGGTGCTATAGATTAACTAGTATTTATTATCATGACAATTGTTAGGCTGCTGATGTAAATTGATTCATTAGTGTATGTTTGACAAAGAATCTGAATTGACATGTCTCACTTTTTATATGGCACGAATCAATGTGTCATTTTATCAGGTGGCAATATGTCCTAGTGCAGTCAGAGGGAGGGGAAGAGCCAGGGCCAAAGGTGAGGCACATCAAGCACAGAATAATAATTGTAATCTGAGGATAAAACGCAGGTACTGAGGCTGAAAGAAGCTTCAGTGCTCTCAGAAGACTAAAAACATGCTAAGGTCAACAATGACTCGAATGAGATTAAACAATGCTGCTGTATGTCCACCAGCAGACACTGGACAGTATAGATGTAAAACCAATATGCCAGCAGTTTATCTCAGTTAACGAGAGGAGCAGGCATGTGTTTGGCTCCTTCACATAGTGGACATTGAGTTGTTGTGGGACACCAGTAGTCCGTGTCTGTTGCTGTAACAGTAGTTCATGTTGAGAATAAAAAATCCCAGCTCACTGAGTTGATCGGGGCAATAGTGACTAAAATGTTGCATAATTTTGCTGAGAGATCTTTTACTTTGTGGTCATCTTAGACGAGTAGTTTTATGGACAAAAACCAGCAGGTCACTCAGTGTTTCCTTAGTGCTAATGTGTCAGAGATGTTGGTGTAATGTAATTGAAGTAATGTTGTTAAGTCCTTCAAGTCATATTATTTTATTGTCATGACTGTATTTTAAGCTATTTTTTATTTTTGTATGATACCTGATTTATATGGAATATGGCTGAAGTAAACTAAAGCCTGAAATACTTAGTCAGTCATTTGTTTAACAGTAATTTAACATTATATAATTCACATATAAAACTATGAATTGTAATTTTAAATGGTTTAAAAGCATGTAGAATAGCATGTGTAGGCAAGTATAATTCTCATTTTTTTTAATCAAGAAGCAAAGACAAAAAGGAAAAAAAAAGAAACAGGGCAGGTTCGGTGCTTGAATCATCCGTCCCCACCAACGCCAAAACCAAATCTACACCCTTGCCAGGAAGTATAAAATCCAGAAAGCTGCACAACGTGTGGTGGCTGTCAGGAACAAAAATGTAAACGTAATGTTTGATGAGTTGTTGGGTTAACCCTGTGAGGTCTAAAATATAATTGGCCATTCTAAATTTAATCTTACATTTGTATTTCATCTTCAGATGGTTTTATTTTATTTCATTTCATCGTATTTTTTTTAACCTTGCCGTGTTTGGTATCATTCTTTTCAGCTCAACCTCACATGTCTGAATTAACAGTTATTTTTTCACTGACATACTGTGTTGACACAAGTGATCCGAAATCACACGAAAAAACATAAACTCTTAGTTGTTATATATTGTTTTACTGTAAAAACTTATATTTAATTTTAATTGTTGCTGAGCTCAAAGTGTTAATGCCACCTTATTTTAATTTAATAATTTTAGGGTAGATCTGCCCTCAAGGCCACAGACCTGCACACGTCCATTTTTGCTAACATGAGTCCACCTGCACTGGCTGTGAAATCTTTATCTTTTGCTTCCACTCAGGGCTCTGTGGTGCAATGGAGAGCGCATTGGACTTTTAGAAGAGCAAAGAGGAAGTAAGTCAAAGGTTGTGGGTTCGAGTCCCACTTGAGTCAATTTCTATTAATTAGCACTTCATTGGTTCAGTGATGTGAAAGTGCTTTACCAATACTGTCTAACTCACCCTCTTTAGATCTGCCTGCAGCCTTGTGAACAGCCAATCATGTTATACACCTGACATGTGACTCATGTAGCTGTTTCACTTGGCACTGCTGAAGATATGTGGTACAGTCACTGAGCTTCCTTTTTAATTTCAATTAGTCAGCTTAGTTAACCACTAACAGTAAATATGTATTTCACATGTAAATCAGGAGTTGTGTTTTAAAACCTTTACACATTTTCAGAAAAACATATGACTGCATCTACTTTTAGATCATCCAGGGACCCCTTATGATTTGTTTCTATGTTCAGTTTATATGTGGAGAATCTAATGCATCAGCAGGGGTGTTGACTATCTTAATCTCAGTTATCTAATGAATTCATCATATTGACTCATCTCTAACACAGAGTAAAACTCTACAAAAAGTTTTTCTCAAAGTTTCCCAAGCAAGCATTTTGAATCAAAAACACACGTTCCAGTTTCATGTCATTTTTGTACTCCATTTATGCATGAAAAGGAAAAACATGAGCCGCAGTCATTTACACTGGAGCAGAGCATCATGGAGGACAGCCATCTGTGAACATCACACTCTGATTCTGGAGAACTTGAGATGTATATTTAAGGTTTAAAAACAAGTTCAACTGTGCTTCACTGTCAGATTCTATCATGCCCTTCTGTGGCTGCAGGCTGCTGTTTGGGATCATCTCCACTAGAGGGTGTCTTGAGCAGCTGCTTCTCACCTGCTCACACACAGTTACAACAAACATAACATAAAAAACCCCAAACATTAACATTATGTTGGTGCTGGATTTTTTAAAAAAGAGATTTGAAAACATAAGGACGGGCCTTATGTTTCAAATATGAATTTTCAACCCGTACCTGCTCGGCCATTCATACCTCAAAGTAATCAATCAATAGATAAACAATTAAATGACAAACTGGGCTTCGAAGGGCTCTGTGGCGCAATGGATAGCGCGTTGGACTTCTAGCAAAGAACAGAGGAAGGAATTCAAAGGTTGTGGGTTTGAGTCCCACCAGAGTCAGTGCCTGTAATTTAAGTTCTATTAATAAGCACTTCAATTGATCAGTATTGGAAACCAGCTTTATTAAGGTGGTCAGGTCAAACACAGACCCATCACTCACATAAACAAAATCATTGACAGATTCTATCACGCCCTACTATGGCTTCAGGCTGCTTTTTGTGATACCCTCCACTAGAGGGCATCTTCTTAGTGGGCAGAATTACTCTGCTTTATATACAAATACTATATTTTATGTGAAATTAACAAACTGTTAAACAGAACCTGCAAAGTAGAACCTTTGTGATTTACACAAACAACTACTAAAGCTGCCCCTAAAAGTTGAAGAAATGCAATCACACCAAAGAGAGAAATACAGCCACACTTCTCATCAGTGTCTCTCAGAACTTTTTTTTATTTCCCATGCATAGTTTGGATGAGTGTAGTGGAACTGAAATGAAAACATGGACATAAAAGTGTTGACATTCATTGTGATTTTCTCCGTTACAGACATCAAAGAAATCATTAAAAAAAGGTTTACAATTAAACAAAGAAAGGTTTTATTCAAGGTTTAAAATCTTTCAGAAACGTCCTTCAAGGTAGAGCTAGGATGCATTCTGGACGGGAAAAAGTGCCGTAAAACATAAATACGTTACCAAAAAAAAAAAAAAAGCAGCTAAAACTAAAACATTCAGCACGTTTTTATACAACAGTGCAACGAAAAGGCGGCAAGATCTAAGGGTGGTTTCTCAGCACTCAGTTCCTCCATTTGTAACTAGGTGACATGACTGCAGCTACCAAAAACCTTTAGTGCCAGGAACGTCTTTCAAGGAACTAAAAGGTCCATTAGATCATTGGGTTTCTGCATTTCCACTGTGGTGTGAGGACCTGTGACGATTAAGAAAGTCAGGCCTCTGCATGGACGCAAGGAAGCTTTTACACGTCATTCCCCAAGCTGCAGATTATACAACAATGCAGACGACAATGGCATGTAATGTGAGGGACAGGGGACTGCATAACAGCAGTCAGCGTTGAAGAGATTCAACGATACTGCTGTTGCTCGTGATTTACAACTTTGCAAACAGTCACTGAAGGCATGAGCCGAGAAATGCTCGACCAAAATGAAAGCAAAATGATTTTAAAAGCTTTTGCAGATGCTGACATAGACTAGCTTAAAATGTTAGGAATAGTTGACCAATCATAAAAGTTCAGAAAGCAACTACCCAACCCCCAAAAAAGCTCAGGAATTTTTTGGGGTGGGGCTACCTCCTGAACAGGGACTTTCAGAGTTTAAAAAAACAAACAAAACCCCTAGAACTTAGACCCTAGTCCCAACAGTGAAAACACCCTGAGCTCCTCCAAAGGTTCCTGCAAAGTTCCTGCATGTTCTTCTCTCTACTTCGGGGTGGCTGTAGCTCAGGTGGCAGAGCAGGTCAGCCACTAATCAGAAGGTCGGTGGTTTGATCCCAGGCTGTCTCCTGGCTGCATGCCAAATATCCTTGGGCAAGATACTAACCCCATGTTTGCCTACTGGTGGTGGTCAGAGGGCCCGGTGGCGCCAGTGTCCGGCAGCCTCGCCTCTGTCAGTGCACCCCAGGGTGGCTGTGGCTACAATGTTGCCTGTGGGTGAATGCGCTATACAAATGCAGGCCATTTACTTTTAAGACCACAGCAGTGTGATGAGTCTGGTGCACTGGTGCTCCAAGCTAAACAGGAACAGGTAATGTCTCCTAAATTTAAAAAGAACTGGAATTATGAAAAATTTATCTATATGATATAATCTTAAGTATGGAAACCACCGAGTCGGTATACGTATCCTTTAAAACTGCGCTGGTCGATCATTTTGTTCTACACTGTGTTATGTTACTGTTTTGGTCCAGTGTCTCTGAAACAACATCTTTAAAAAAACAGAGACCAACTACAAAAATGTGGATATTTAGAGGCAAAAAAAGTTTCTGAGGAGATTCTGAAGAAGAACACAGCATAAAAAAGGGTTCTGCTTTTAGTTTTCTAATCTTGCTGTGACTGCAGGATGTAAATAACTGCTTTGCCTTGTTTCTTACATCTTTAAAGGTTACTTATGAGAATTTTCCAGTGACCTCTGACCCCCAATATGATGCTCCTTTAGCCCCTTTACACCCCCAGGGTGTGGTTAGGTGCACGTTTTCCCCCTGAATTTGTAAACAGCTGAAGATTCTTAAAACCAGGTGATCCACTGCTTCCCTGCAGAAAAACCCCTTCAGTGTGGATGGACGCACAAAAAGCTTTCTTGGTGATATTACACCTGTTCCATTAACATCTTTGCAGCTCCCGGGACACCAATCAATCGGACCAGGTCCAAATTCTACTACTGCTTTAGTTCCACATATGTGGACTTGTGTCTGCGTTAAATGCAAAAACACAATCCAAGTGCTGTTAAGAGCATGCCAAACCAACAAGTTGGCAAAATAACCACAAGCTTAAAGTCGTGAAGAAAACCATGTAAACATGGGGGATCGTGACATTAAATGGCTCCTGAATTTCTGAATGAGGCCCATTTTCAGTCATCTGGAACCGTCTGCGAGGGGCCGAAAGCTGCATCTTAAAAAAATACTTAATGCGTGGACGAGACCTCAAACCAGTCGCGTCAGGATCACAAGACAGACTGTATATAAAGATGGACAACTCACACTGTCAAAAAAGTAAAGTGAAATTTGGCTGAATATTTAAGGAGTCTGTGAAAACCAGGGATGATTTTAGCTCTATTACTTTACATTTAGATTTGTTTCTTGAAGACCTGGCGGTGGGGTTTGTTAACAGTCTGCTATTTAAAACTGTACTTTTAGTGTCGCTTGAAAGTCTGAGTCGGTTTTAATGGCTCACAATGAAAAGAGCTAAAATCCTGAGAGATGCTGGGGGGGGGAAATAAACGCTGTGATGTAGATGCAGATTTTTACCCCTCGGCATCTACAGGTTAGTTTGCATCAAAGTCGGAAAAATAAAAAGTAATTCACAGTTCTAGGTAACACTGTATTGCAACTGCAACAGCAGCACGGGAACATCTGGTGTGTCTGTGTACAAATGAGACACACACACACACACACACACACACACCACAGCCACAACATATGGTTATATGTGCTTACTTTTCTTTTGTGAGGTCTTACACCAACATGTGACTGTTCACTGTTTTGCCTTCATTGCCGGAGAGAAGTACAATCGTAATAATAAATATGCCTTAGTATGAGAGTGAAGTTTGCAACAAATAATGTAAAGCTGTGTGTGTGTGTGTGTGTGTGTGTATCTGAAGACAAACATCTTACTGAAAATGTGGATTTTCGTGTAACCTAAAAATGTGGAAAGCTTTGTCACTCTCACCAAAGTGTGAACGCAGCAGCGTCCAACGAGCTCCCTTCAATGTTCGGACGTGACGGTCTGGAAACAAACAGCTGTTCTGCACGAATCGTGGGGTTAAAAACAGAAAGACAAAAAAAGAAAAGCTGTGCTGGTTTTCAGACGGCATCGATTACAGCCCACATTAACAGAACGAGAAATACTAACATGATAAAGTTCAGTGTGATCCCAGTGATTACTGTGAAAAGATATTACATATCTACACTTAGAAAATTCACTTTAACACACCCAGATCCAAACAGTTCTTTCCACCAGTATGCAAAATATACAAATAAAAAATACAAATACTCTCCGACACTAAGTGGGTAGTTTTCTGTTGACATGAAATCAGTGATGACTAAAAGATAAATATTTCACATCTTTTTTCTTCTTCCTTGCATTTTTTTACAGAGAAAATCAAAATTTGTGTGTATGAAAGGAAAAAAAAGTCCCATTTTGAAATATTATCCTTCAGTAATAAGTAACATCGTGATAGCACATATCTGTGTGTCAGCTAAAATGCCTCAGCTTCTCTAGTAAGCAGAAAAGAGCCAGTGTTGAACCCAAAAGCATAGAATTCTTTTCTTTTCAGACATCATACACTATGCACAGATAATAAAAACATCAACAATGATCAAGTCTTTTTTTTTCCACACAAGAGAAATGATTCCTCCGTTTAGGTCTGGGAACGTAAAAGAGCTCAGGGGGCAGGGAAACACTGGAGATGCACTATCATCATCATCATCATCATCATCATCATCAGTCAGAATGGAATTACTGCCATGAAAAGCTCAGTTCAGAGACAGAAAAAAGGTTTTGCTGACATACATCTATTTAGCGTCCCATAATAACACTACTGTGAGGCGAGGGTGTGGTAAGTGTTGAATCAGCGACTGGTGTACAAAGAGTGATCTTCGGGACGAGGGCACACCAGTGTGCAGGTAGCATGTGTCTCAGCTCTTAGTGTACTACACACTTTGACCCAAAGGAGGAATTTCAGTTTCTGTATGTGAGTAACACCACCTGGGAATTCTGCTCTGGAGGAGCCAGGCATCGGGCCTTGCCAGGTGAGTAACAGTCATTCACTGTCATTCGTGGTGATGCCAGCCGAGCACCGTTTTGGCACCTATGTGGGACACTGGCGGGGGAGGAGGAGGACCCTCTGAGCCATTTAAAACTTAGTGAAGGAAAACTTCCGCTCAGAAAGATGAAAGGGAAGGGAAAGATCAAAAGTGTCTTAGCTCACTTAACATGTTCGGCACTGTGGGAAGAGCAGTAGTATTTCTTGTGAGCTATGAACGTGGAGAGGCTGCTGAACTTGATGTTGCACAGCCGACAGAAGCGCGAGTTACCGTTCTGCACAGGGGAGATGACTGGGGTGGTTTTAGGACTGACGCTGGGTACAGGGATGTGGGAGGCCACGGTCTGGGCGGCCTTGTCCGGAACGTGTGACGATCCCAGCTTCTCCCTCAGGACCTCAGGCACAGGTGACAAAGTCAGAGACGGAGCCCTTGGGGGAGACACAGGCAGAGGAGAACTGGCTAATGGTGATCCGCCCCCGGCGGAGGGGCTGCCGTTCACCAGGGGCGAAACAGGGGAAGCGGTACCACTCCTACCCTGCCCGTTGATGCTGTCTCTGTGAACTCGAGAGACAAGTCTGGCCTGGTTGGTTGGAGTAGCTGAAGTCGCTGCAGCGGCTCCATCCCTGGGACTCAGGCTCGGGCTGCGGCTCGCTGTTCTGCCCAGATGGGGCAGAGTCTCCTGGGGTGGCTGAATGGTTACGACCAGCCCGTGGGTAGTCTTGAAATGGTCCATCAAGTCACCAGCGATGGGCCTGTTGGGACAGTATGGGCAGACCAGCTGAGCAGAAGCCGTGACCACGCTTTTGGCTCCAGCTCCTGGAGAGGCTGCAAGTGTGGTATTTGTATGCGAAGGAGATGCAGCATCCGAGGCGGGTAAGGCAGAGGTGTGAGGACTGGATGACGTGCCCTGAGCCTGGGCCACCCACTCAGCTGGGTGAGCTTTATTCTCCACAGGGTGCAGGAGATCCGAACGCTCCTGCTGAGGCCTGCTTTTTGGAGAGGTGGAGGCTGATCTCTTGAGCCTGTGAAGCTGCTCCAAAGTGTGGGGTTGGAGGGTGGTGGCAGGGCAGTAGTATGTTTTATGAGCCAGGTAGTTCTCAATACTGTTGAAACTGATGCTGCAGGCTGTGCACTTGTGGTAGTCGGTGAGAGGCAGGGCTGGGAGAATGCTGCTGCCGCCGCCGCTGCTGCTGCCGCTTCCGCTGTGCCGTGGAGCCTCTCTGAGACGGGGCCTCTTGCTCAGGTCGATTGGGCCATCTCCTTCGGGACTTGAGCCACCTGCACCACTGGGAGAGACTTCCTGCTTTACTACCAAGCCCAGAACCGAGGGGGATGGAGCAGAGGCGGCGGCAGTGGCTGCCGCTGCTGCTGCTGCAGCGGCAGCGTTAGCTAACGCCTCGGTTCTTGCCATGTGAATCTCATACATCTTCTTTCTTTTGCGTGTTCGGATGGGCTGCGGAATGAAGGCGGCTGTGTTGGTGGTCTTGGCCATGTGTACGGCTCTCTGGTTGGACGGGTCGTGGCGCGACGCACAGTAGAAACGTTTGTGGACAGTGTAGTTGTCGTGACGGCTGAAACGGATGTTGCAGGCTTCGCAGAAGGTTCTGTTGGGATCGTCGTCAAGGTCCTCTGTGGAACCGCTAGCAGGACTCTGGCTGCCTTCACTTGCTCGTCCTCCTCCGCCTCCTCCGCCTCCTACACTCATACCAGCACCTTCCCCTTCAGAAGAGGAAGGGACTCCCTCTGTCCCCGCTGGAGGTTCAGTCTTCACCTCCAGCACCCTCCTGGATTCTGCTGCTCCACTTCCTGCAGGAGGCTCGGAGTCAGACGGCGAGGCAGAGGCGGCCCTACTTGATGCTCCGCCCTGAGGAGATGCAGATGAGCCACGTGTGCCAGCAGAAGGCGCGGCGGCCGAGGCTGCGTCTCTAGTCAATGCGGGGCCCGAGGCTGAGGATGCACCTTCGCCTTGATGCCTGCTTGAGCAATAAAGCCTCTTGTGTGCATAGAAATTGTTGATGTTATTGAAGGTGATATCGCACTCGAAGCAGGTAGCTCCTTTGTGAGGTGGAGTGGCTGTTGCCGTGGGTGCAGTCGGTCCAGAAGGAAAGAAGGCTGCGGCGTTGTTCTGGGCGACCGTCTGGCCCTGCTTTAGGCGACTGTGGACCATCTCTGACATTTTAGCCAGGATCTCCGAGGCCTGAGGCAAGATGGCTGCCTCGGGGTTAAACATGTACTGAGGCAGGAACAGCGCTCCTCCTGGAACAACTGAGCCTGCACCTCCCATATGGGCGGGGCTAGAACCAGGGGTGGGACTAGTGGGTTCTGCCTTCACTGTTGTTGTAGCTGGACTCTTCGGCGAGTTCGATGTTTGGCTGGAGGAGGTCGTTTGCGCCTCTTTTATGTTCCTTCCTGCCTCTTGATCTACCTCCTCTCCACCCATCTCCTCCTCCTCCTCTCCATCCTCCTTAATCTCCATTTTCTGCTCTTCTGTGTCTGAATCTGAATGAGGCTCCTCTTTGATCTTTAACTCCATGATCTGGTCATCAGCAGGACTGCAGTCTCGAGGCGTGGCTGAGCCTCCGTTTGTGCCTGGACTGGATGAAGCTAGGGGTTCCTTCTCCTGGGGAGACGGTTGGGGGTGGTCGACCGACGATGGGGTACTCTGACGAGGAGTAGGGCTTCTTTCAGCTGGGACCCTGACTTCCAGGTGAGTTCGTACATGTTGCTGGAGCTGAGCAGGTGAGTCAGCGTTGTGGCCACAAACTTGACACTTCAGCACAACACCAGAGTCTCCTGGACTCAGACCTTAACAGGAGAGTCAAGGTTAGTAAATTAAAACAGTCGCTTACATTTGAATAGATTATTCAAATTTTATTCAAAATCTCAGATTACTCAGATTAAACATGTCCAAAATTTCCAACAATCTCAGGAGGGTTAAAGGACAAAAAAGGGCCAACGTGCCGGCTTTCCAGCAGTGAACCTTTTAAAGTTACTGCTACGTAATCCAAGTATAAAAAATAACAGAATATGACGGAATGACTTACCGATGGACAGGGGTAGCTTAGGGAGACCTGGCCCCGGAGAGTACACCTCACTGCGAGATCCAGGCTGGCAAACCATGTGGCTGGTGACCAGATGGCTGTAGAGGATGTCCCTCGTGGTGGAGACGAAGCCGCAGCCGTGACACACCCCGTTCAGGGTGTCCGTATGGACCTTAAGGTGCCGCTCACAGTTCGCTTTAGTGGTGAATGCTGACAGACAGATGAGACAGACAAATGGACGCTCGCCTGTGGAAGGATGGAGAAGGATAACAGTCAGGCCCAGATGCTCTGACCCTTTGTCTTTTATGCATAGATATAAATACTGCTCTCACCACTGTGTGTGCGCATGTGAATCTCGAGTGAGCTGGCACTGGGGCAGCTCTTGTTGCACTGTGGGAAGGGGCAGATGCGTTCATTGGGGTACGACTCCTTGGGTTTGTCTTGTGGAGGGGAGGAAGCTGCAGCTGGCTGCTTCTGACGGCTGGCACAATAGTACATAAGATGGGCCTGCAGGTTCCTCTCACTACGGTACCAGATCCCACAGTCCTTACATGGGAAAATGTCCTCTGTTCAGCAAAAACAAGTACACACCAGCTAGTCAGTCAAACACAGACACAAATATTGGTTCAAGAACCTGAAAAGCGCTGGTTTAATTAGCAAAAGTAAGGATGAGGTTAAGTTTGCCTGCTACAGTTATACAAAGTTTTAATTGTAGTCTAATTGTAATCTCACAGACTTGTGGTTTACAGTTTTGAGATATGTATACATTTTCAATTACTATAGACTATTTCCAAATTTACTCACTTCATTATTTAAACCAGTTCAACTGCTCGTCAACACACCAATATCTAGTCGGCCAATCACATGGCAGAAACCTCATGGATTTAGGCATGTAACCATGGTTACATCAACCTACCAAAGTTCAAGTATCAGAACCTCTGATTTAGTGGGATTTTCCCACAAAAACATCTGTAGTTTAAAGGGAATCCAGCACATTGTTGCACACATGTCTGAAGGAAAAAGGAGGTCCAACCTGGTACTACCCAGGTGTACCTAATACAGTGGCAGGTGTGTGTGCACACCACAGAAGCCTTCAGAAGTCTCCTGCCACAGAGGCATCAGATCTACCGGTGTGTGATGATTGTGAATTATCTGACCATCAGTCAGACGTCACCACAGAAGCAACGGGAAACTTTAAAGTGGAAGGCACAAACTAATCAGCTGGTTTTAAAAGTGCTACAGTGCCATCTTGTGACTGAAGAGAACATTACATTTATATAACAAAGTACATTTCAGTAAATCACAACAGCTGCAGGTACCAGTTTGAAGTTCTCCAGAGGCCTGGTAATAAACGAATTGATTCAGGTGTGTTGACCCAGGGTGAGATCTAAAACCTGCAGGACACTGAGCCTTGAGGTCTCGAGTTCTAACATGGCATATATCTGATACATTTTTGCCTCATTTGAAATTAATTGAAAATATGTATTGTTCTGCAAATAGCCGGCTGAACTTTTAACTACTTAAAATGCTCTTTTCGTGAATACGATTTGAATACAACACTCACTATTGACAACAGCAGTAGCCAAGATTGCTGCCATGCCAGCTTGCTGCGGGAGGAGCTGGATCTCTGAGTGCAGCGCCGCCGGGTACGACGGCTCCTCCTTCACCACAGGTTGTTTGTGGGCGACAAGGCTCAGTGGAGGAGAGCCTTGGGCCACCGGAGAGGAGGAGCCCAGTGGAACAGGAGACACGAACGCCACGAGCCTTTCACCGGCCTTAAGCTCTGTCATCACCTTACAGAACAAGTCCTCGCCTGAAAACAAACAGGAGGGAGTAACAACTGGAAATCTGGCAGCATAAAATGCACAGTTGTGTTTGATCTCAGCTTTCTGCTGTTTGATACACAGATTCTGATTTTGAAGGCAGCTAGAAAATAAATATCCTATTGTCGTGCATTAGAAAAAAGTCACCTTGGCTGTAGATAGAGCAGTTTGCTGCAGAGGCATCGGAGGTCAGAGGGAGGCGACTAATCCAACAATCTGGATCTTCACACACGACGGTCATCCGAATGTTCTACACACACAAAGAACAGTTTTCATTGATCAGACTGATCACAGCCAAGGTTTTTATTCTTGCCTGTCAACCAACACACAACAAACACACACAAAGGGTTCTTGTTATTACTCATTTTGCATCATAGCAGATCCACAAGGCTGCAACTGACAACACACAAGTCGGTGCACCCCTACCGCTGGTCCAGAACGCGTAAATCAAACGTGAAGCATCAAGAATATTTTAGGAAGTTAAACAAAGTAACCAAATGGGTTCATCACAAGTCCCAAGATGCTGTGTTTATGAGTCACTTTTGTTTTTAAGATAAAACTGTTAATTTTCTCTCAGTCGGTCATCGGATCATTTCGGTTTTAGAGACCTGCTCAGTTTCTGCTCAGTTTCTGGGTGAGTTGTGGAAAATGTTCTGAAGCGGAGGCTAAATTCTCATAATTCTTTCTTTTAAAAAATTTATTCCATCTATTACAGTATCATTGTATATATGTATATGGACTCCTGACCGATTAACAGATCAATGTCTGTTTTGTTAATTGGAAGAATTTATATTTTCAAAATAAAAGTTAATTTATTGTTCTAAGCACTACGATAGATTTTTTCCTCCATAATGAGCTCTTTTATTCATGTATTTTGATTGTGGGGGATAAAATATCCAAACTTATGACTATATAATAGTAAAAGGAAAATCCTACTATTATATTTATCATCAGCTGGAATCACAAAGAACCTCTCTCTTCCTCTGGATTTATTCTTAGTGTAAAAAAACACTGCAAAATCAGACTATCAATCAGATTATGAAGCATAAAATTAAAATCTGACATTAAATGAGAAAATAAATAAATAAATTTTTATTTATATAGCACCTTTCAAGACAGAATCACAAAGTGCTGCACATAAGATTACAAGTCATAAAAACAACCAAAGTGTTTGTATAAGTGTAGCCCAATTTGGACTGATTCTCATATAGCGCCTTTCTACTCTCCCACAGTACTCAAAGCGCTGTATACAACACGCCTCATTCACCCATGCACTTCTAAACACAAGTGCAAACTACTCTACATTCACACTCCGATGAACACATCAGAGGGCAACTTGGGGTTAGCATCTTGCCCAACGATATTTGACATGCAGACTGGGGAAGTCAATGATCAAACCACCAACCTTCCAATCAGCAGCTGACTTGCTCTACCACCTGAGCCACAGCCACCCAGCCATAACTAGCTTTTGCTCCATGATGCTACATTTAAATTCTGGGCTTCCACAAAGCTTGAAAATGATCATCCAAACTCTGGTGTCATCACGTGATGATGCGTGGTTTACTCATTGTGACCCCCCCCCTCCCAGATTAGATATCTAATTTGTTTCATGATAAACATGAATAAACATGTTACTGGGGAAAACCCCTTTAAAGCATGCCCAAGCTCAAATTCAACCTGTCGCCTAAACATCACCGCCAAATCAAGTAAAACATCTGCTATTGTCTTCTTCAAGTATTACCGCTCTTCTTTTAACTACCAGCAGATAATCACCAAAATCAAAGCATTAATTGTAGCCAGCTGGGACGACACAGCCACACGTGAGTATCCAGTGTGCGGCCAGCGGTAAACACCGGTTTATGAAAAGGCCGTCAGTGAGCAGAGGATGATTACAGCCCCAGAAGGAAATGAGGGAGCACAAGCGGAACAAAGCAACCCCGAAAATGAAGAAAAAAGAGGAATAAAAGAGGAAGAGGGACCTCAGGAGAAAGGAGAGAAGAAAAGGAAGAGGAAAAAAGATCTGATGAAGTCGACAGGCAGCTATTCAAAGGGCAGCCATAATAAGATCCACGGTGGATACACTGGACAAAGAGTGTAGAGTCAACATCCACTGTCTGTATGTGTGGAGGTATGACACACACACACACACACACACACACACACACACACACACACACACACACGAGTCCTGAGTACAATCCTGTCTTTGTTTATATGTGGCTGTGGGAGCACTCCCACCACATGTGTGTGTCCCATCACTGATAACTCTCAGCGAGGCCTTTCTTCTGTACTTCTGCACCAGCACATTATTCCTCAAACACCACCAACACCACCTTTCCTCCATCAGAGTTTCTGTTTAAGTATCATACTCCAGACATCACCACGAATATTCAAAATATAATCTTTCTACAACCAACAGAGATAAATAATAATAAAGGTGGATTTGACTGGGTTGTGACAGCTGCAGCGACTCCACGGGGAAGAGAAGAAATCTCTGATGCAGTGACCGACTGTCCTCACTGTGTGAGAGCTGCACAGCGATGCAGTACCGTTCACTCTCCACCAAGAGGAAGCATTCCCTCAGCACAGGACGTGACGGACCTCACTGAGCAGTTACAGTCGATGAGAGAAGCACAGAGAAGCTTCCTGCTTTATTTTCCCTGTCACGTTCAACGCTGGCGTCTTCCATGACTTTTGGTGTTTTTAAGTCTGATTTTCCTCCAAACACGCTGTAGATTTGTCTCAATGTTTCAGTAAGTTTCCTTTTTAAAAATATTTTCTGTTTGCAAAAAAATTCCAGATATGACCCGACCACTGGGCACCTTCTGAAAGGGTTCCCCTTTTTATCAAATTAAAAGTGGCATTAAATTTGAAACTGAAGAATTATTCATTTTATATTATTATAAAATGAATAATTAATTTATATAATTATTTATTATTTATACAGAATTATTCATTATTCATATACAGACTTATTCAGAATTATTCATTCTGGGAGGAAAAAAAGGAGGAAATTCATGGAAAGCCAGTGACGGGCTCTGCTGACACACTGCATGCACTTGGCCAAAGAAAAGATGAGTGAGGCTGATTCTCACTGCTCGTGTATCTGACCTTCACCATCTGTAACAAACCCGTCACATAAAAAAGTCCTTAAAATGATCTTTAGAGAGAACTACACTGACCACAGACAGCACACACGATCATCTATAATTGTTCTATTAGTGGAAAATGTTCAGTGTGATATACTGCATTAGTCTCAATTCATCAATATAATTAGTCATAAACTGCTGATAAACAAACACGTCAAATCACCAGTTTGGACCAGTGAGAGGAAAAAAGTTGTTTCTCCTCGTCTGCAGCAGGTCTGTGACATCACAGGATTATTGGGATTTTTAATCCTGCAACCAGTGAATAAATACCTGAAAATACTTTTTCATTGCGGCTCGATGTTAATGTTCAGGTTTCATAACTGCTGTAATTACTTATTTTATTGATTTATTTTTTAGTTTTCTGTAAAAAATTCCAAACACTTTGAATACAAATAAAATCCTCCTTACAAAAGCAGCGCTGTGATGTTCACCATCAGGTATGATGCAGGTTTTAGGAGTTAATACAAAGTTATCTTGCAGATATTAAAGAACTAATTAAACATTGATCAAGTAATGCAATTGAAAAAGTAGCGATTTCCTAATTATACAGCATTTAAAATGTGTGCATCTTTGATTGAAGTTATTTGTTGCTGGTTACATAAAGTATGATTATTACTCAACCAGTTCACAAATCTATTTATTATATTATGTATGTAATTCAGTTTAATCTCATTATTCTGCTTGTTTAAGTTTATTTTTGTAACTGTGGACAGGTGTAGTATTTATCACCACAGCAGTTTGTATTACTGTGTTAAAAAAATGAATAACCTGTACTGTAGTTTTATATTTTATGTTTGTTTTATAATCATCTCATTTTATTTTTATACTGAAATCTTGTTTTTAATCCAGTGAACTAAAATGTCATTAATAATAATAAAATTAATGGAGAAACATATGAGTAGGAATAGCAAACGGCTTTGTTACTGATTAGTGAAGCAGATAATGACACATTCAGAGGAAACATGGAGAAATGCAAATAGCAGAAAACAAACTGAGATTCTTGAGAAAGCCTGCGTGTGCAGATCAAACCATCACTTTAAAACCTGTGTGTTTTTAACAAGTTTGATTTGATGTTCACTTTTATTCTTGTGTAATTTGTGACACTGACCTGTTAGCATATTCAGTACTTTGTTAATGGTCTTATATTATTCATGTTTTAAGCTGCTGTTTTATTGTGAAGCACCGTTGGTTTTTAAATGTGCTATATAAATAAAGTTGTATTGTATCGCATAAACACTGATGCTCTGGTGAGAAGACACCGTGCAGTGGCTTTTTCACCTTAACTTTGTGTGTTTTAAAGATGTTATATATGTCTCACCACAACTGAACCGCAGAGGACAAATATGAGGTAAAAATCAGGAACCACTTACGTGAGGTTTCAACTGTTTTAACTAAACTCTAAAAGCAGAAAATTCAGAATTTAAACTTTTAACTACAAAAGGAAAAAGAGAGCGCTGCTTCTTTAGAATTACAGGCTTGTTTTAGGAATTACTTTCAGATGTTACGCATTCATGTGAAGGCCTTCCCAAAAATATTTCAGAGCTGCTCTCCTCTTATCATCAACCTCAGTGCAGCTTAGCGTGAGCTCCTCCAACAGCTGCTGCCTGTTCATTGTTCAGAGGACATTTTAGACCAGGCTTAACTACGCTCTAATATCAGTTTGACTGCACTGCAAAAATAAAAGACTTGGGTTAAAATTACACAAGGTTAGACTGCTGTTAACTAAGCTTGGGAAAAATCAATGGCTCGTGCACACAGGCAGCTGGCTTTGTTTGTCCGTGTGAGTGAATCTATTCTCAGAAGCTCGTATACACAAAGAAGCCAAAAGATTTCAGCTCTGCTGTATGTATTGAGACGTTACGCCACAGAAGCGTTCAACACTCTTTGCTTATCTCTATTTTTGTGTCTGCTGGGGTAAACACTGCTGAGCAGGTATTATGTAAACCAGTTGGCCATTTTTGTTCTTTAAAAGCCTCCATTTACCCAGAATTCTTTGTCCCACTTAACATAGTCAATGACTAAATTTAGACATGTGCCAAACTTGTAATCATTTGGTTTGCCTCAGCCACAGTCGAGGTCTGTATTGGTGAAACTGGCCCCT